TAGCACTTTGGTTAAAGTAGTCAAAAGAAGAAATAGTGCAGAAAATAAATACTCCTCCTCTCTCTCTCTCTCTCCCTCTCTCTCTTCCTTTCTCTCTCTCTTTTTAAGATAATGAGCAAATGACGAGCAATTTTTGCAGCTTTACATGCTTTAATACATTAATTTAATTGATTAAAGAGTTCCAAAGTACCAAGTTTCATTTTCCTCAAATTTCAAAGTATTAAATTTCATTCGTTTGAAACAGAAGAAAATTGAAAAAATCATTGTTATGATCACTGTTCTTATCATTGTTATCATTTTCAGAGAAGGATAAATAATGAATGATAAGAAATGAATTGAAATAAAAATATTTTGTTTATTCGACCAATAGAACATTAAAAAATTTTGGTTATTTCAAACATTGATCTATTACATAACTTTAATTTTGAAAACTTAGCAAATAAAAATTGCTAATAATTGAATCTAATAATAAGTAATCTAATAATTATTTTAACAATAAGTGTTGAGATTCATTTGATATGAATGAAAATTAAGAAATTATCATTTAAAAAAAAAAAATTGTTTCATAAAAATAAAAATTAAGAATTCAGGAAGAAAAAAGTTATCACTTTTCAAATAATTAAGCCTATCATCATTAATGATTGTTTTCCACAATGATGCATTTAAGTGACATTTTATCATTGCTTATTGTAATAATCAGATAAGACAAGATATCATATATTATAGCAAAAGTTGATCAAATGATTTAATCCCTAAAAATGAATATGATGAAAACAATTCCCACTGATAATTTTAAAAAACTTTTACAAATTTTTTTTTCTCAAAAGTGACAGAAAAATAATTGATGCAGTGTGTTTAAAATGATCAAATTTGAGCTTAACTATGCTTATACATAATATTGTCATTACGTATGTGACAATTGTTAACTTTGTGATAACCATTTCTTGCCGTTTTTCCTATAGATAAACGATATAAGAAATTTATGAACAAAAAAAAAAATGAAAAATTTCAATGCTAATAATTTATTGGTTGCAAAAATTTCAACATTGAACAAAATTTTCTTGGAAAAAAAAACACTGATGAAGCGAATTTGTCATTTCGCTTGATTTAATGATAAAACAGAAAAGTTTCAAAGGAAGGAAAAAAAACTTAAAATTGTAAAATAATACTTTTCAAATTTGACAGATATTCATGAGCAAAATATGGAAATATTTATATTCAAACTGCATAATATGAACAAAATTATTGTAATACAAATTATGCAGTAAAGATCAATAATTGAAATCTTGAAAAAAAAGAAGTTGAAAAATTTTGATTAAATCCAATTTCTTTTAGGAACAAAATTTTTTTAAAATAATTTCAAGCATCTCTTTCTATTATAATTTTTTTTTCGTATGAACTAGTTGAACTTTGAATTCATTTGATGCCAATGTTTACTTTATGCTTGAAAAATAAAGATATTAATAGTCATCTCATTGTAATATATATGCTTTTTACTTATGCAAAACCTGAAAAAGTTTTCGTTATGAAACTTTTCGTTTCATTCTTACATTCTTGTTGGACATTTTATGACAATGTCTTCTTATCAGTATCGTACAGCATCTTTTTGTACGAGAAAAACTAATTGATAGCTTGTTCGCAAATAATTTATGAGCTCATACTTACAAAAAAGTAAAATTTTATCAAATTTGTTCTCATTTATCCAATAAAACTATGGATATAAAGATTTCTTTTACTAATTCTTTCGAAATAATGGATTTTTATCAGTAGATATGTGGAAGGTAATCTTATTTATCTTTCGAAATGATAAAACATTGAAACTTATTTGTTGAAAATGACGAAACTTTATAGCAATCAATTCGTTGACTTTCCTTTTTTCCAATTTATTTTATTTTTAAATGATTATTTAGAGTCAATTTTTAAGTAATTATATCGATGGGATAGTTAAGTTAAATGAATAGAATAAAAATGGAGATTTTTTACATTGTCAATTCAAATAAGTAATTAAGATGAAAATTTGACACTTGACAATGGCAATGCTCATTTAATTGATAAAGGATATTTTTGAATGTAATATTTTTATAGCTAAAATGAACGACATAAGGACAATCTCTTTCTTTTTTTTAACGATTTGGGGACAATTTAGTGACATGGGGACAAATTTTTCATGGTGTACATCACATTTAACAAATAGAATTTCACAGCGAGACTGGACTAAACTAGATGACTAGGAAAGGATAGACTGGACTGGTTGCTGAACGGTGTGGATGGAATACCGAGTAGAAATATGGTTGTGGGAAATGAGAAAGTAGGAAGTATGGTTAGGGAAGTGGAAGGTCAGTTGCAGTGTGTTAATCGAAGAGACATTGGGGATTACAGGAGATGAGAAATAGCATTGCGGTAGAGATTGAGAAACTTTACAAAAAATCAAGGTAGCATCTATTGTAGCAGTAATGGAGAGTAGCGAAGATAGTGTAAGGAGGTGGAGAAATGATGCAATTGTTGAAATTTCAAAGTAACACAGGCTAAAGAATTGAGAGAATTGTTGAAATATAACGTTAGACATTTGGAAATATTTGGTTGAGGGAATATTTCGAATTTGCAAAATTAAAGTGTTATACGAATTGTTAATCTTAAATAGTATAAAGTCAATTTGAAGTATTAAAGTACAAAAAATTAAAAAAAATTGATTTCAAAAAATAAACTAAAAAAGTTTTCAAAATTATTTGAATAACTGAAATACCTAAAATAGAATTGTTTCATATATTTGTTGCATGCTAAAAACATCTGAAATTTTCTTTTTTTTGAAGTAGTTTATTTCATTTTATCTTAATTACATGCAATATTTTTCTTTTTTCTTTTTGTTAAGTTGATTTCAGATCAAAAAGGAAAGATGCATTTTATAAAAAAAGTGGCAACAACGGAAGAGCAAAAGTTGAAGAAAGAAAAGGAAAGAGCTGAAAAATTGAAAATTTATTGCAAACTAAGGAATCGGATTGTTGAAAAACGTATGAAAGGTAATATCTTTTGTGTTATTTGATTAAATAATCTATATTATATTTTATATTTGTTTAATTTCCTAAAAATTATCGTCGATGTTTTACATATTTTTAATTTGTTTATTTAGAATTTATACTAAAATGAAATTTGCAAAGTTAACAACGTAGTCTGCATTATGACGTTAGAGTTATAACTATGTTTGCTTCAAATTTATGCAAGAAAAATTTCTTTGTACTGAAAGATCAGGTAAGAGTGAGGGGGAATATTTGGAAAAGTAGCGATTGATGAAAGTAATATCTTTCGTGATAACTACAATGAAGCAATATTAGTGTATCGCTTATTTTTGGATTGTTTTTTTAGTTGAAACCGTTGTAACTTATAGGTTTTCTTTTCACTTTTTTTTTTAAAAACCTTAGGATTTAATTCGTTTCTGATTGTGATTGATGCAGGATTTTCAATTCTAATTTTTTTGGATTGGAAGATAATATGAAATATGAAAAGATTTGGATTTCGTACTTTACAGGTGAGTTGGATGAGGAAATGTTGTCGCTAACTGCTCCTTTGCTTGAAAAAAACCCGGATATTTACACATTTTGGAACATCCGTCGCCAAGTTACTACTTTATTATCTAAGGTTGAAGAGTTTTATTTATTCAGCTTTTCTCATCATAACTAAACTTTCAAGTTAGGAGTGACAAGTTTGGGTAAGTGAAGTTGTGGTTGGTGTAGGTATTCTAGTATGATATGTAAAAATATAGATGATATGAAATATGTAAGTTATGTGGATAAAAGTGATATGTAAAAAAGGAAAATGGCACTTTTTTGATTTTTCTGAAATTTACACCGTTTTTTGTTAGAACATTTCGAAAAATTTCTCGAATCTTCAAAGTACAACATTCTTTAGCAAGCGATAGCCAATACAACTGATACTTATATATATAATAATTGCATTGTTATGAAGATTATACTATACTTTGCAAAAAATAAGTAATAGAATTGAAAATGGTGGTTAGATGGAATATCATATTAAGTAGTCATGAAAAAAAATTGGATTCTAAATAAATGAAGTAGTTCTTTATTTGCAGTTACTTTTTTTTCAGAAATTACCAGAAGAAAGCGACGAACAAAATATAGTTCGAAAGGACCATACATTCCATTCAGAAATAAAATTGACAGAAGCTAGCTTAAAGGTATTTGTTTTATTCAGTGTTGGGTTTTTAGTTAATTCTAACATAATTTTTCTGAAGATAAAGTCGAAGACTTGTCTTATAAAAAATTTATAATATATACACAGTTTTACGTCTTCTGCTTTTGCCCTATAAAATTGATTTGAGTTGTTTATTCATTCCCGACCACCTACCTACGACTGCAGCCGTCTTGAAGAATGAATTTGAAAATGCAGTCATGCTGCAGATGACACTTAATTTGAACTGCAAAAAGGAAATATTATTACAAAGTCCTTTAGTCTTGTTGCTGCGATCAACTTTTGAGCATTTTCAACTATTTTATATTCAGGTAAATCCCAAATCGTATTGTGCGTGGTTTTATCGCTTTTGGTGCTTTAAACAGTTGTCAGATCCAGACGTGGCGGAAGAATTAGCAGCTTGTGAGAAATTCCTGAAGTTGGATGGCAGGAATTTTCACTGTTGGGATTATCGCCGAGAAGTAGCGCAATTTGGTATTCAATCAGCTGAAGAAGAACTCAAGTAATAATTACGAATAGCATTTAAATTTAATATTAGCATACTGTGTTTAGGGTTTGATTAATGACTTTTGAAATCATACAAATTGTTGGTATTTATGCTTGATTACTGGGTATTTCCTTTTTCAAAAAGAAGGGATTTTTCAAACTCAATGTCAATCGGGATGCATCCAGGAGTGTTTGTTATTGTTTCCTGGAATTGGAAAGATGAAGAGAATACAGGAGGAGAAACTTATCATTACTAATCCAATTATGCGGCATTCCTTAACTTAAAACTCTTAGTAAATCTCTTGGCTCGGTTTTTTTATTGGTCTGTTTCTATCGGTTTCCAGTTCCAAATATCATAGATTGATAATGTAGGAAGTGTTTAAGCTGAAATTTGAGAAATTAATTTCTTCAGTTTTTAGGTTTTCAGACAGATTGATAGATGAAAACTTCAGTAACTATTCCTCATGGCATTATCGCTCGTCTCTTCTGCCGTCATTATTCCCTGATGCTGAAAATCAGCTAACTTTGAACCGACAAGCATTATATAATGAATACAAAGTATAGTTTTTTTCTTTGGAATTGGTTTATAACTTTTGTTGAACTTCTTGTTTTGAAAGCTTGTTTTTACCAAATCTTGTTGTAGGTCATCAAAGATTGATTTCCATCGATAGTTAGATTAAAATAAATAGTTAAAGGGCTTCCATTAGGAGAATATTTTGTATGGCTGGTACATTGAACGCACAACCTCGCAATGGCGGCAAACATCTTGCACTTAAGCTTCGGAAAGTTCCATTAATTTGACAACTGGGTGAGGTTAATTGATTAAAATATTTATCTAAATCGTGTGTAAGCATGTTTTGGCCTGCTTTATTTTTTCAAAACAGGGTATTTCTTTCTGATTAATGCGTTTTATACGTTAAACGGAGCCCACATTCTTAACCTATATGTTTTTCTTCTTTCTTTTCTTTTTTTTGTTTCTTATTTTCTTTTAACATTATGTTGTTTGTTGTATATGAAACCAGTAGAAGATATCCATTTTTTTGGGCTTACCTTTTGCTAACTTTCATTGTTTCAAGAAACTAGAAAATGCATTTTTTATGGATCCCGAAGATCAAAGTGCTTGGATATACGCTGAATGGCTTTTGCTATCCAACGGAGTGAAAAAGAAATGTGAGTAATTCCAGTTGATTATTTTATAAATGGCTTTTTAGATTGGTATTGCTTTGAATCGCCAAAAATTATGGAGGGTAACTGGCCATGTTAGATTTGTATAATTAAGTGAAATACTCACTCTTACGGCCATTAATTTTCATTTATTGAATAAAATGTAGAAAGATGCATAAATATTAGGGAACATGGACAAAATGCTGAAGCTGTATTTGGGAAGTAAAATTACATTTTCAAGATGATATTAATAATACCCATTTATTGGGATTGGTATTCGATTTCACTCGCAAATGGAATCAAACCACAGTTTCATATTTATCAGTTACATTTGACCGCGCTGTAAAATTGGCAATGATATCTAATTTTTTGATTGTAAAGATGAAGAATGGTGATCAGTGGACTCCCATCATGGTGCGTTGTCTAAATTTTTTTTAATGCAAATTTTCATTTATAAGTTTTCAGTTTTGGCTTCATATTTTGAACTGCTCATTACGGAAAATTTGCTTTTGTTCCTTGATTGTGGTTTTTTTTGTCTGAATTTTTCGAATTTAGAATTCCGAAATGACAAATCGTAGGGCATTTCGCGCTAGTAATTCATATCGATTTGAAATCGATGGCGAAATAGCCGAATGTCAGTTACGTCCTTCAATTCATGATTCGTTTGGGATCGTCGATATGGAACGAGGATATGTTGATTTGCAAAAAATTTTCCACATATACCACATTAAATGCAAACCAGTTAGTGAAGCTCGAAGACATATCATCGAAAAACTAATGGATAATTGTCAGGAATTACTGGAAGAGCTAAAAGTTGACCAGAAGGACGAGATTTTAAAGGTATTATAATAGTTCTATTTTTCAAAAGCTTGCTGATTTCTCAAATCGATGTTAGATTCGATTTATTTGATTATGAATTCGAAATTAAAATCCACCGTCCTAGACATTGAATAATAAACTTTACTTCGAATTTTAGTGCACTTTAATAAAACTCTAACTGCTCTAACCATCCATGCACTTTTTCCTTTGTTTTTTATTTTAAGCGACGCAACAGAACTGGTTCAAGTTATCCATGTGTGATAGTTACACTAACTTATCTCAGATTAGAGTTAGTTGTTTGAAAAGGTCAAGTGCCCAATGTCATCAAATTATTTGCTACTAAAGCTACTAAAGCTGTATTAAGTTAAATGGATTTTTTTTTTTTGCAGTGGCCACTTCTTACGTATACCTTTGCGATCTTAGAATTAGAACCGATTAAAATGCTTTCGACAATTTTGACGAACTTGGAGGCATTGGCCAGAAATATCGATCCACAACGATGCGAAATGTATAATGAGATGGCTATGAATCTACGAATTAACGAAAAGCTACGCGAGAAGTTAGGTGATGTACGGAGGATAGATATTTTATTCAGACATGTTGAAGGTCATTTTGCCGGAGAACTAAAGCTGGATAATATGGGTTTGAAAAGGTCTTTTTTCCCGAAGTCCATTAGTTCAAATAAGCAATTTGCATCGTTAATTAAGCAAGTTCCTCAGTGGTCAGTTTTTGATTTGCTGAACAAATGATAAGATGCACAAGATTTGAATAGTTTCTGCAATGGAATTATAATGAATGACTCATTGTAACTTTAATATAAGGCAAAGTGTTTGAATTAGGATTGGGAAAGTTGTGTACTGTTAACATTAGTCTCTTTTGAAAATTGTTTACAATTTTTCAACATAATCTGTTGGCCTTAGCCAAAGCTACCTTTTCGTTAGCTTCTTTACTCATTCTATTTTTTTAATTAATCCTTCTTTATTGTTTGCTGGTAACATTTTGAGGCGAACAATGAAGCTATAGAATGGAAGTTATACAATGGCAAGCTTGTGGAAATGGAAAATTTGTGGAAAAAAATTTTAAAAATTTTCTGTGTTTTGTATTGTCTTCTAACAATCATATATTTTAGCATTGACCATTTAAAATATTTGTCATCATTTATCACACGTTTGGATCTTACTGGGAATAGATTCACCAATTTATGCAGTTTCAAACCTTTTCGACGTTTAACTCATTTACGACTTTTTGGAAATCCTATTACCAGGTTAGGTCCATAGCTTTTTTCGATTCTAAAATTTGGCTCCTTGGTGCTAAATGTAATGTCATATCGTCCAGACTCCCAGTATAATAAAACGGTATTTTAGCTATAGTTATTGCTATAAATCAAACGCTACTATTATTATTCTTAAGCTAAATTAGCTTATCATATTTGGAAAGTTGTAGTCGTTAATTTCAGTATTACTGAATGCAAATATATGTTCGTTATAGTATTCGCTACATTTTGATATAATTAAGTTAACTAAATACACCATTGTTTCAGTTTTGAAGGTATCAGTATGTTGCCACGGTTGGATTATCTGGGCGTTATCGAATTGGCCATGAACAATTTGGATATTAAGGACAACTTTGTATTGGGGAAAATTGGAATATTGGAATTTGAAGAATCGGGGCAGCCAGTCAAAGTGTGGGCAAAGTAATTCGTCCCAGATATTGAGTAAATTGTTTGTCACAAACAATGTTCTACTAATGCATATTTCTTTTTAACGTACTTTCATTCTTGTTTACTTTTTTTTGCATACTTTTATCAATTTACTTTAAGGGTTAGGTTAGAAGAATGATTTCTTTGCGATTTATCAAAGGTAATTATATTAGATTCCGTCAAAAGTGTTTGCAGATCCAGGTGTTTTTTGAATTAGTATGTACAACTTTCGCTATCTGTCGGACAGTTTCCATCTATTATTTCAGAGAAAATGGATCGATTTTTGAGTAGCTAAAAGAAATTGTAAATATTCGAAATTTTCGTAGAGAAAGTGGTTTTTGTGCTTGTCAGCTAAATAGATAAGGTTGAATTGGATGTTTTTGATAAGCATTTGCAAGATCCAAAATGATAATATGGATAGGCCGATAACTTTTGAGACTGAAGTGGCGAATAGATCGGAATTCGTGTTGGATGATGAAATGTTTAGCTCTTCTGATCAACAGTGAAGACTAGCAACACATAAATGGTGATAATGAAATAATTTTGATTTGCAATTATGTTTTTCCTCGGTAATGGAAGTTGTTCGACAAATAAATCGATAAAAACGATAGGTGATAAGGAATCCTTTAATCGTTTTTGCAGATTTTGCTAGATTTTTACTCTAATTTTTCGTACTGAAACACTTGCGAATTGAAGTGTTTCAGGCTCGAAAGCAAGCTTAAAATCTATAGCTTTTGTTGGGTTTTTTAAAAATCAGGTTCAGCTTATGTCGAGCTTTTCAAATTCTTCGATAAAATTTGCTCTTTATCAGATAATTGTATTCGTAAATTTTCTGTTTTTAATTTAAATGTATTATAGTTGTATAAAATGATATATGGTAGTTGTTAAGGCAAACTCATATACCATGAGGAGTTATCTCATCTCATTTGGAAAAATGACATTGTAGTTTTGACAATTCATTCTTCAAGGTAACGAATTGGTACATAGAAATTCTTGAGGATATTAAAAATAAACAAAATTGGTGACATAAGAAGAGAGCTATGGATGCAGCAACAGGAAGTAAGGGGGAAGGGGCTGGAGGCTTTTATGAGTGCCCTGGAAGTGTAATCATGGTAGAGTTTGAGGGAATCGATTCAGGGGGCGTTGATCGACTAGATCATAGAACAGGTTTGTATTCCATTAAAGGGGCATGGCAGTCTAAATTGGGTGATACTGCTTCGTCAATTGCTGCATTCATTTTACTGCTATTGTTTACTCACCTCCAATTCCTATTTTTCTTATTTGTTACCATTCAATTCTAATTTTCATCCAGCTATTCTTCAAATTTAATCGTTCGATTAATTATTTATTCAATCCTATTCTAGATGATACGACTATTTATTGGTTTGATTTTACTCTCTGAATTACTGATTAAATTAGCTACTGATCATTTAAATTAGATGGTTCCATATTTGATTTATTATTCTCAAAAAAACTTAAACATGATTGGACTCGATATTTAATTGCATTAGTAACTCGAAGAGATTGTATCAGATATACTGTATTTCTGGTCATTATTGGGTTTTGCAATTCCACGGATTCATTATATTTGTGAAAATTTAGATGATATAATTTAAACAAAATAAAATGGATAGAAATGGTTTTTTTCATTTCACTGCAATTCTCTCACATTTCCTTCCTAAATTTTAAATTTTAAATACAGCAATAATTTGAGAATTATTCTCATAAATTCTTCCCGACATTCATCGATTTGTTTCAAATCTTTCTTATAATAAAATAAAGCGGAAAATGTTTACAGTTGGCTTTTTTTTCAACTGTCAATGGCTTGTGTAAAGAAAATAAAAATTTGCATATTGTCTTCTTAATTTCAATTTTGTCATTATTTATTATATTTAAAAATAATACTATGAAATGTTCTAAAAATAGAATCATGGAATGTTTTTCTTTTTTGAGAAGGGAAAGAGAAAAGCGAAGCAAATGATTGCAAACAAATGATCATCTATTTCTGCATTACTTTTGTTCGAACTCAATTAGATCAAACTAATGGATGTTTGTTGTGACAGGATGTCATTTACTTCTTCAGTGTATGCAATGCATTCAACAAGCAATCAATCAATCAATGAATCGATCAGATGGATAAATCTAAGGATAAACTGTGCGCGGTTAACAATAATATGGTTATATTAGCAACCTAAATCAGCTATAATTTACCATATCAAAAAAGGAATTCATTTCTTAATTGTGACTGTCCTGAAATTTCTTTCATTATTGAAATATTTCAAAATTTCACTTTTGAAAAAAGTCTTGAACTTTTTTCTAATCTTTTTTAAATCCTTTCTCAAATTTTATTATTTAAATGAAAGAAAATTTTCCTAAATCATTTAAAGGATAAAATAGAAAAGGAGAAAAAAATAAATAAATCGGTAAAGTACCTCACATTACAATGATATTATACAATTTGATGAAATGTTATTATCAAAAATAATCAAAAAAAAGGGAAAAAAGAGGATTGTTAAGAATTAAAACATGATTTAAAAAAAAAAAAAAAAAAAAAAGGAAAAACGATAAATTGTAATTGTTTATCGTAATATTATCATACAACAATAATTTTTTATCTCCGAAATCTTATCAACCAATGATTTATTCAATCTTCAACAAACAGTCACTTTGACAATGACAGACATAGAGCATTTTCAACTGATTTTGTATTGTTTCAATGTCGGAAAAATCAAAGGTTAATAATCGAAGGTGCCCCACTTCTCATCTATTTTTATCGCAGTTTCATTTGCGACGATGAATTTTTATCTTTCTTTCTTTTTCTTCTATTTTTTTTATCATTACCATCAATTTACATACCACTGTACTTATGGTATGTTCCAATGTTAAGTGAACACACCGGATGTTCATCGAAATGGGTCTTTTTTCTTATCGTATAATGATTGTTATAACATGTTATGTATGTATTAAAATACGTAATAGATACACGTGAAATATGCGCTTACACGTGTAAACATATGTTTACACATTAAATACATGTTTGCACGTTAAATGCGTGTTTGCACGTCAAATATATGTTTACATGTTTAGACGTTAAATTTGTTTGTATCCGTAAACAAAGGATCAAATGCCGAAACAAGAATTCGAATTCATCGATTACTTGGGTCCATTAGCCGTATCCGTATGTTTTGTTGTAGTATTATTTATTTTATCAGCTATTATCAATTTCATTTGGATAACAAAAAATGATGATCGAACAGTTTTTGAAAAAGTAAGTTTTCTTCTTTTTTTTTGGCTAAATTTATGAATTATATTCTTGTTTAGTATATCAATTTTATTGTTATTGTAATAATAATATATTTATTCAATGACAATAAATAATTTTAGTGATAACAATAGGCTTATCTAACGACGATAATGACGACTTTTTTTAGCAATAATTAATAATAACGATAATCATAATGATACTAGGCGTCTTTATGATAATATTAGGCTTGTTCATATCTTTTACATGATACTGTCATATGATTTGAGGACAATCATCAATCGAATGAAATAAATGATAACTTACAAATTTTCAGTGATAACAGTGCTACAGTGATAACAGTGTTACAATGATAACTTATAAAAAGTATATGCATTAGAGAATGTAAATGCTTTCTTTGCATGAGATAATTTAGGAAAAAAATTAATTATAATAGACTAGTATTACACTAATTACAGTTTGGCTCAACGTTCGATCTTCGATGTGGTGTGCATCGAATGCGACATAGGCCAAATAAGGTAATAGCGCTTTTTTTTAAATCTATAATTAGTAATTTATTAATTAATGGTGTGAATCATTTTAGACTAATAGTGATTGCTGCAAAGACTAAAGAATGAAATTAGGAATTTCATTTCATCTGGAATTCAAATTGATGAAGATTTAATGAATTTTTAATTGATTTGGAGCAAAATTTCAAATTTCATCTAATTAAATCAATCAACAATTAAAAAACTCTATTTACTTTTTTTTCTTTCAGTCATGGAAACGAGTTCAATTAATTGATAATCAAGATGTATAAAGGCAAGATGAGGAATGAATTATGCAGTAGTTACATAATCTAGAAGCAATGATACCTCAACTGATATATGATATGATATGTTATGATATGATTACAGATTAATCAGTTTTACTGCCTATTTTTTTTGCATATTTTGTGGTCTTTTTTCTTCATAGTTATTTGAGAATTTTCAAATGACTAGAAAAAAAAGTGAAGTCACGTAAGTGTTAATTACGTGAACTATATAGTTTTACAATTTTAAATCCGGGTTTTTCTTTTCTTTTCCTTTTTGTTTCAATCTATTTCAAAAGTACATAAAATATCATCATTTCAATTGCCTCTCTATTCATTGAAACACTTATTTAACTACTAATATCACTTAATTCACGCCGATTTACCACTGCTACTACTGCTACTTTTACTATTACTACTACTACTACTACTAATACTACTAATCATTCATTACAATCTGTGTACATTTCCGCTTTGTTCACTTTTCTGCGCTTTTGTTCCTACCTTGCTTTCTAAAAAGCAAAAGTTATTTTTTCTGGATTCCGGTGCTATAAATAGAATGAAAACTCATATCGTATTCATATGCACACTATAATTACTTTTATATTAACATGATCTTTTTCCCGGCAGTAATTATAGTTAAGGTTTCAAGTATGATGAATAATATCACGGATATGAACATTGAATATCACTATTATCACTTAATAACATCTTTGTGTTTATTGTAACCGGTGATTACCACTATCATTATCATTCCTCATCCACTGATAATTCGTAGTAAGTTGTATGTACTTGTGAAATTTTGCTATAAACACACCAAAATTGATCATTGTACTTATTAATTAACACGTTTCATTCTTATGCATTACTTTTAAAAGAAGCTAAATCAGGACATAGCAGGATTTTGGAAGAAATTTGAAATGAAGTAGATGAAATTTTCGAAATTAAAATAGTTTTTGGAAACTAAAATTAAAAAACCCTGAAACTAAGATACTTCAAATAATAATTGAATAAAACCGAGAATTGAATAACAATAATATAATAATTGAAGACAACAATTAGGATGAGTTAGATAAAACAGGTGCATTAATGAACAATAATTGAATACATCGATAAACAGTAATCAAGCACAAATATATTAATGAATAATAATTAAGTAATTACGGGAAATTGGAGTGGTTTGTTTTCGGAAATCTAAATTAGAAAAAACACAATTTCGCCAAACTTCGGCCGAGAATTTATTGGAGTATTTGAGTATTGTAAGAATATTTGGATATTGATAAACATTTTAACAGTGATAATGATGAAGGGATTACAGAAACAATTAACTCATAGCCCTATCATCTTTCATGGAGTCTAATTAGATATCAACCAGTAAAGTAGTTTTATATATCACAATTGAAAAATGTCATAATTCCCAAATGAATTCCCCTTCGGGAAACTCCAGGAGGTCCCAGTAGCAAGGTTCGAAACTATGAGCTTCACAGAAAATTACCAGTAACGAAACTCCAGGAGGTCCCAGTAGCAAAGTTCGAAACTATGAGCTTCACAGAAAATTACCAGTAACTTAATTAATTTATTCTGTAGCATTGACCCCGCAAAAAAAAAAAAAAAACTGAAATTCAAATTTGGAATATAAATAAGCTTTTATGTGTTCAATCCTTATATTAAGCTTTGAAACATTTTTACTTACGTTTCTAACATTGCAAGCAATACAGTCAATGGAAAGCAGAATTCTCTAATTACCCTAATCATACGACTCATTATTACGAAAAGAAAATTGAAAGCTTTTTATTGCTGCCTTATCTGAATCTAATTAAAATCACTGAGAAATTGAAATGAAGTAAGTAAAAGGCAAGGTTTATCAGGAAAACAAAGATCGAGATATTCACATTAGTTTTTAGCATGAAATCAAATGAACAAACAGATTTTCCAATTATGAGAATTTGAGAATAATTTTGCTTTATTCTTATAATTTCTTTGAAATTACAAGTCCTCCCGTCATCCCTTTTCACACTCAGACTACTGTAACCCTTACTTAAGTACATAGTATGAGATATAATTTAATTCCTGCCATTAAGAATGCACTCCTACTTCAGCTGAATCGCAACCTTTTATGAATTCACTCCAGAAATCTCAAACATCGACAAAGAAATTATAAGAATAAAATGGAATGTGGAATTAAATATTTACAATGAAATCCTGAAACATGTAAAACCGCATAACAAAAGAAAAAAAATTGGTCAAAAAAAAAAATCTGAGGTAAATTTTACGAAAAAAAAAAACGGAATGTGAGAGCAGTCAACGTGTTTCACTGACTCCTAAATCTGAGCGAGAAGATACCATAATTAAACCAGAAATAATGAAACAGTGATGAGCAATACAGAACAACATATCACGAAATCATAATAGAATCACCACAAAATCGTAGCGATGATACAACAATCCAGTAAAGTAAAACAGATAAGATGTTCTTCACCAATTAGTTTTTGTTAATTACTGATATAAAGCACAGTTCGAACTGTTTATATTATCCCAAAAAACACGACGAGTTCTACACATCCATTATGAATTGACATGGAATAAAAAAAAAGAAAAAAGACTTTAAAGAATTTCTTACTGTGCATATTAATCCCTTTTAAAAATATATGAAATGGATAAACGATTATCTTGAACATCTTAATCCATAACAGTATAAAGACTAGCAGCAAAAACAATATCCCTCTTTATAGCTGCCGATGTATCGTCCATTTTCTCATACAATGCAGGGTCACCAACTAGTCGAGCAGCATTTCGTATATCGCGACATAATTCATCCAACCTCTGTATACAACGTACAATCAAACCTTCCTGTGCATCCGTCAGCTGCATTATATCAGCAAATGGCTGGAAATATCGTAAATTAACTTGAATTATTGTACCGAATATGATAATGTTACAATCACGATATTGATGGATGAAATTCGTGGCAGGTAATTACACGCACTTCGAAAATGAAATCCAACGAGATAATATTGTAAGAAGCACCGGTAGAGCAGCATTAAATGTTTTAAAGGCTTCAAGTAGACAAATACAAATAAACTGTAATTTATTGGCCAACAAGGATCAAAGGTCAGTCGAAATTGAATCTCAATAGTCTAACCTACAATGGATTTAACGGAACGTTTCAACGGTTAGCATTGCAAACTTCTTTTAAGAACTTGATATTTTTTGCCTTCTCCGATCTATATAAGAAGTGGGAAATTTTTAAAAATTATGAATTTTTATTTCTACTGGACAAATGAAATTCATAATAATATTAAATTATAGCAAAAGGGCTGATAACTAATTCATCTATAAGGTTCGAAAAGTCATATGAAAATAAGCTCTGACATGGAAAGCCAGCATCATTAATTTAAATCTTAATTCATGATGTCGAAAAATAGCGAAAATACAAACAACAGACTGAAGTGAATAAAAAATTTTGCAATTTTACCATGGAATTGGCCCATTCATAAACGGCATGCATCAAATCAAAGCTTAGTTCTTCAGAAATGTCGACATCTTTTACACCACATTCTCGTTGGAATGTCCCAATTCTGTTACAAACTTCTATGATGTCATCTTTCAACTAAAAAATAAATATTCCCAGATTAGGAGAAAATTAAAAAATTATTGCATGCTCTTCTAAAAATTGTCACAAATTTCGTATTCCTTTCGACTATGTATTATATTGTCCCTCTTTCTCTTGGAATTTTAGCTTGTGAATCATCCTAAAACAGGTAAAGGGTTTCCCCGTTTGGAATTTTCAGCCATGCTTGCATAATTTCATGAGTAAGAGGCAATTGTACCTCTTTTAGAACTGGTGGTGGACGCACGATTTCATCTTCCTTATCTTTTCTATAATCGCCTTCTCTTGACCTATGCTGACAAGTGGTTACTGAAAGCATGGCTGCTATTTCCGCAGTTGAACGATAGTGAAATTTGTTGTCCAGCATCAATTCCGTAATTAGCAATTCCTAGAAATATAATTTTGTCACGCACATCACCTTTGATTCCATTACTGGCCACCAGTTATTTTTTTGAACTGAAAGAAAATTTCTCAAGGATAAATTAGCATAAAATGAAAATCAATATGCATAAACCAAAAACCCGGGAAAGAACACCACTGTTGTAATCTATAGGGCCATATTACCTGATGATGTATTTCGCATGCCACGCGACCTTTCAGAGAAACCAAATTTGAGTCATCAATATAGTTCAGTCGGCGTAAAAGCTAAAAATATTCAGAGGTTAACTGTTAAAGAGATGAAAACGCTAGTAGACAAGTAGCAATAAATGTAAAATTCGAAAAATCAAATACGAAGTATTACCTTAATACGATCATAGTAATCCTGTGAAAGAAGCAAACCACCAGCTGAAAGCCTTACACGGAGTTCATCACATTTCTCTTGTAGGCTTCTTTTATCATGTATATATATGAACTAAAATTTGTAGAGAAATAATTTGATATCTTTTATGAAAACGAATTTGTCAATTAAACCGCAATATAATTCCCCATTAATTACAAATAACAGCTCAAACACTATATTAAGAGAAAATTTCCAAGCTTGAATTACAAACAAAAACAATAAAGTAAAAAATTAATTAAAGAATTAAGATGAAGGAAAACCGAAATATTGAACCGATGCAAAGACTAACGAAAACAGGGCTTTAAGCATGCTTCTGTGAGTTTAAAATTACATCAAGATCAACTTACATGCTCTCGGAATAGCGGACATTGTCGACAATGAAAGTTTGCATCATTTATGAGGAAATTGCGAAGGTCATTCAAATGAAGCAATTTTTGAAATATGTCAATATCGCTCACTTGTATGTCTTGCCCTGGTAACTTTATATTTCCCTTCTTGGTACTATCCCAATTTGCTGTTATATTATCAATTTCGTTAATTATTTTTCGGACACCTTCGTTTGGCGATTTAGTCCTACAAATGAAATAAAATTCGACAAGTATTACCATATAAATTATAACTACCGATGACTTGGGAACAAGAAAACAGAATGAGAGCTAAGACTAGCACCATTTTTTCAGATTGCGCATTCACTAGCAGAAAGAATTCCAGTGAGTAAAATTTACAAGGATAAAGAAACGAAGAAAAAATCTACCGATGGTTCGGGTGATTTCGTGATTTTATATCTTCTATAATAGCCAGCGGATCAATCTTCACAGTTCTCTGACAAATTGCTATCAAACGATCGAATGATATACCATCCAAAACAAAGCCTATTCTTCGTACTTGATCTGAGAATTTTTGCGGTGGTAGACCTTCAAGACCATAAAGTGCTGCACATTGCAATAAGCTTGTTTCACAGATTTCTTGTCGTTCCTGGGAAAAAGCCTTAATTACGCTTTCCGAATATAACTCAATGGCACTACGAAATTCCGAAATCACTAAAATGAAAGAGGCACAAATAAAGACTCTAACCTCCTGTGGCATTCGTGTGAAACTATCTATTTCACATTTTTCACGTATTTGTTGATCGCCTTCCACTGACAGTAGTAAAGTCATTTTTTTTGAATTTCCATCCACCGTTATCTTGAATACATTTCTTTAAAAAACTATCAATGAAAATGGAGAAGAAAAAAAAAGAAAGTTTTCACTCCGTAAGAAAAATTTCTTCCTCAATGTTATTACAGCAAGAAATTCTCTCGTAAAATCGGAAAAGAAAGTGCCAATCATGCTCTTAATATCAACAGTCTACGAAAAACGAGAGTTCAAGGGGGACCTTGCACTTCAAGACGGATGATTTAACGCTTTCCAATAAGTATTTACGAACCTTAAGAAGAATTGCCACAGTAGCAATTCGTCCAACTTCTGGCAAACAAACGATAATTAAACGTCCCGGTGCTAGCAATTTATCTACAACCGAAAACCGAATTAATTCAGGCCATAATTCAGCTCGAGATCGTAGGAATATCTTTAAGTTCTCATAGTAATCAACAATCGAACGGCTTTCGATAGGAAAACATGCTGTGCAATTAGGATCTTCTTTTGATACTAGCAGTTTTTCTACCTGAAACCTCAACTTTTTAAAATTTGGAGTAATTTTCCAATGGATGATGGATTTCTTCATTAAAAACCACAAATAAAGCGTAAAAAGGCTTTCAAACAAACAATAATTCTTGATCAAATAAAATATTAGATATTTAACAAATGACGTTACAACAACTTTGCAAGTAAACTAAAGCGGCTGAGTGTTTGAAAATTCAGATCTCTTCCATGGTTGATTTGCATTCAGCAAAATTTCGGCATGCATTTGCATCATCCGCGAAATATTAAATTCGAAATAAGTTGGGTTTTAGAAATCTTATCAGTATACATTCATGCCCATATTTGGGATTCCGCTCATCCTGAGCAAGAGCTTAATCTTCCATAATTTAATTACAACATATAAATATTAAGGTTTATGTTCTTGCCATAATTCACCTCTTTTAAGCGTGCTTTATGTGCTAGTGCTAATCTCAATGATGCGCTCTCAACGTAGCTTCGCCGTAGTACGTCCTCGATACTCAGATATTCTACCCGCAACAAATTCAGAAGCATCGAATATGTTACCCTAAATCGTGATTCCAACTTTGTTGGTTTGCCCTGGAATGACTGAAATCATACAAGCAAAAAAAAGAAAAAACATTCATATCATGAAGAGCAAAAGAAATTCTCGGTCTCAACTATTTGGAAATTCCCGAGAGAGACAAGCCCAGTATCATTCCTTGCGCTCTCTCAACACTACCCTCTTCCTCCTTCACATCACATTTTTGATTTCTCAAAAGTATCGCCTTATTTCAAAGATTTATCAGTCAACAAATAAGATTATGCGGAA